AAACAGGTCGCTATAGAAGCTATGTACTCCGCGTGTTGAGGAAAGCCTAACGAATCGCCACTATCATCAATGCATTCAAGCAATACTTTAATATTTCGTAAACCCACTAGGTCCAATGGCTCTGATTGTATAGCTGACCAGAATGGATCCATACCTGCTTTGTATTCGGTTTATGTGAGTAGTCCGGATGCTAGAATAAAAACTAAAAAGCAATTTTGGTTGCAAAAGTCTAGTGTTGCATTCTATTGCGCTGAAAGTCAAGCTTTCTAAGGATTCTAACTCCTTATGACATCGCGCATAAACTGCTTTTTTTGTGATATGTCCATGTTTGCTATTTTCTTTTGTCTAGTACCGCCGATATAGCCATTCTATAAGTTTACCATACAGTGCTGCCACTGTCAGTGTTTTCATTTCAGACCAATCGATGTCACCCCAAACACTACAAATCGATTCTAGATTCACCGGGATATGTGCAACTCCCCAGATGTTCGGGTTCGACTTTAAGAAGTTCGAAAGCTTCTGGCTTTGGAAGGAAGCATCTTTTAATGTATCTTTGATCTGATCGAAGAACTGTTCCACGCAATTGGCAATATTGTCATCTGTGAACCCGGTTATTTCCATTTTCACATCGTATGAGAAGGTGATCGCATATGGTCGAGACGTCAAGATATGATGTGTTATTAGTTGTTTCATTACATCTTCCAGACAGAACGAAAATATTACCTCTATTCTATCTCAGTGCGAGCAGTTCATTACCTTTTTTTAATTTCAATATGTTGAAAGAAAATACTAAAACGTTGATGTTATTCAGTTATTGTTTATTTGTAAAGGCGTAATGAATTTGTTATTCATGATAAGATGAAGTGTGCGTGTAATAGTAAACGATGAAAACAGCACATAGACATCCACAGATAGCATAGAGACAACCGCAGACAACAAAAAATAACTACACAGATATCTATAGATTTCCACATCTATGGATATCACTGTAGTTACTTTTGCTTGTCTCTATGCTGTCTGTGGATGCCTGTGTGCTACTACTGAAAAGAATTTTTTGCTCCACTTTTGATTTGGTGCACCTTAAATCGGGATGTAGAACCATTGGTCCTCAGCTTTATGATTTATGAATTTGGTTAAGAAAGCATTTGAGAAGACTATTCGAACTTTATTTAATAGCACTGGCTGCAAATGGGATGAAAGAATAGAACTGCGAGAGAGAAAAATCGAGCTGGGATGCCAGTTATTTATAAATTCTAAGCGAAGAACAGAGTGGAGAACGTTATCGAATGGGCGTTGTTTCTTCATACGGGAGTTTCAGTCAAGAGAATGACGAGTTAAAGATGAAAAGCATCTTGTGTCTTTATAAAGTAAGTTGTGTGGGAAAAACAATGATAAAACAAAACGTTAAAGTATCCTTGCATAAGTTTTGAAATAAAAAAAGTATTATCAATAGACGTCCGAATCAAAGTAACGCTTTGTACTTTTAGGATTTTTCATGCTGGTAGATCGTTCTGATTGAATATATATTAAATTCTTTTAAGTAGACTGATTGTATCTGTATGTATATGTATATATCTGCCTGTTGCAGCATTAGCCTGAGAGAATGATAAAGTTTAGAGTTTGATATGGCGACATTATGCTAAAATTTTGTCCGTTCCCTGTTCCTCCGGTTGAACCGCCTAAAAGGTGTGAGTGATCACCACTCTGTTGTATTATTATATTAGTTACATCTGTACTGATTGTATGTGTATGCGTTCCACGATCCGCTCCACCACCTCCACTAACCATACCTCTGTTGCCACTTGACATTTGATTTGCCCCTGTCTGTCCGCCATGATTGTGTCCAGGATCTTAATAACTATGGGTGTGATTTCCACTGTTAAGTGTGGTTATGTTCCCTGATCGTGAAGGTGCCATGGTAGTTCATCAATGGATAATGTATGAGTTAGATTTCCACCTTGATTGAGTCCAACGTTTTGATTGTGTCGTCTATCAATACCTAATGGAAATCTGCCACGGAAATCTGGCAGATTAAATGTATTGACATGATCACCATCACCATAAAGTGAAGCAATAACTGAAAATAATAGTGGATAAGCTATTCTCGATACTTCTGAACCATCACATCCAAGCCATTTTTCAGGTAGATTTTGACCAGTAAACAAAATTATTGTTCCAATAGGTAGGACAGTTGCTGATCCTTTAAAAAGGACAAAATTGTAATAGACAACCATGTGTGTATGTTTTGCCAAAACATATACACGTGATTTGAGTGAATTCTAGTTTAACTCACAACATTCCATCATAAGTGACTGCGCACTAGCATACGGAGAATTCTCCAAAGAGATCAATAAATGACCGAGATGGTAATAGTAAAACTCAAAAATCTTTCAATTCGATTTAGGATACAACATGGGGTATCTGAAAACATATTTTGTCTAAAAATTTTCTTTTCTGAGAAATTCAGTCTACTAATTTTTTGGAAAACTTTTCCGTTTTGCAGTTTCTTGGTTACAGTGCATAAACCGTTCAACTGATTTTCTTAGAAAATACTGCATTCGAAAGTGGAACAACAACTGAATAAAAATCTTGAATTTTATTGTGTAAAGTTTGCGAAGTTTCGAGCTCTAAATCAGCTACTAAATGAATACTTCTAAAGAACATGGGTAGATCAGGTCAAAAGTCATCCCCAAATGAATCCGATTTTTGTTCATGTAAATCGTATCCTGTGTTTGCATGTTTTAGTTCTGAGAAAGTCCACTAAAAAATATTTTCCTTAGGCCCCAAAACATTTTAAAAAATCGAAACAGCGTTTTGCCTTAAAAATGCTATTTATAAACTATATGCATAAGCAAGGGAGTAAAAGCAACACCTCACCTAAATAAAACTGTATTAGGAACTGTCCTGTAAGAATAAGGACGAAACTAGTCTCAAGTGAAGCCCATGAGAAGTTCAACAAATTCTTCTTCTTTCTTTACGGACTGTGCTACCCTGATTCATCAAACACAACGGTGTAGTACCCAGAGTTTCATTTCTTTGTAAATTTTCTAATACTTTCAAGTTATTTAATTTCTCCTTCGATGTCATACCTCTATTATAATGCTCTATTCAATCCATTAAACGTCTAAAACGGAAAAAATCGAGAAAGTAAAAATTTGAGTTCCGTTTTTTCTTTTACAAAACGCGTATTTGACACCTGAAAATTCTATATAAAACTTCGCTCCTAAGGTTTCAGACTTTGTAGAAGAGAAAAACGAAAAACTTAAATCATAATATCAGTTTTCCTATGTTTTCTATTTGGATACGTATTTCCTTAATTGAAGTTCTGAAATTATAGTTTAGTTATGATTTTGTAGGATATTTCAAGGTGTATTTTTTGCAAGAAGAAGTAGATTAAATGGAGAAGATAAGAGAGAAAAGACGAAATTACCAAGAGGGCAATTTCTTCTAAAGCACCCGTTACACAGTGGAGTTCAACTTCAAAGGAGTGGTCCGCATAAGGCTTGAAATCGGCCCACTAAATTATTACTATTTTATTGGCTCAATCTATCCAGAATTCATCAAACAGATAAAATACTAATAATTTAGTGGGCCGATTTCAAGCCTTACGCAGACTACTCCTTTATTTTGCATAAGCAAGGACATCGCAAAAGAAAGTAAACGTTTAGTAACTTATAACATCTGATGACCAGAAGCCTTAGTGATACCTGTATAACTAGAAACAAACAAAATAAGAGAGGACTACTAGTCGGAAATTTTGCCAAAAAACGTAATTTCACTTTTCTCTCATTTTAATAGCATTATATATACTAGGAACGATGGTGAATTTAATGACGAAAAAAGTGTTTTCCTTATAGAGTAACGTTAGATGGAAAAATATGGCTAAAATTAGAGTAATTTCGGAAACGTTCGACTTTCTCATGCCAAATTCAATTTCTGCTTAAATGTAAGTACATTTTCGGAATCAGTATACATCAGGCTATCCTTCGGTAAAAGACTTTTTTTGTAAAAGTCAAAATTTGAGGTTACACGAGCGTTTTTTTCTGTAAAGAGTCGCACTTAAAAAGCTATCTGCAGTAAAATGAGCGCGCCAAAGCTAGCCAAGCACTAATCGAGTTTAGAAAGAGGTTAAAATACTCGTCTCATGTTCCTGCATCTGTGGTACAAGCGGTTAAACGCGGAAATGTATGTTTTTCAGATAAAATGCTTCTTTTCTCATTAAAAAAGGCTTTGATTCAAGCAATCTACAGATTCGGAATTAGCGTGAAAAACTGCATCGAATGATATATAGTTTGTTAGTTTTACAAATAAAATACTTTTTGACAAAAATTCAAGATAAGCGGCCCTCCTGAGGAACTTTTTGTTTAAAAAGGTTTTTTTCGAATTCGACTTCGTTTTTTACTTCTACTGATATCTGACACATAGTAAGACCATATTATGCTAAAATAATCATTTCTTAACTCAAAAAACCAGATGTCCGCCTGCTCTATGGACAAATGCCCACTGTGTGTTAGATTATATTTTTTGTAAACAGATGAATAAGATGGATACAGCAATACATAGCTAGACGCACTCATTTCAAGAGTTTTTTCAAGAGACTGATTCCGGTGACCTTGTTTGATGAAAATTATTTTCACAATAAAAGTTAATCTTCTTTCCATTCGCATTGAGAATCTAAGATGGTAGTACGATGGCTACTATTATCGAAGCGCACATAATCGGCTGATATTAAAAAAATGATCTTTATTGTTATTATCTTAAATTATGTGATATGATACATCCGAGACTGACGTGTGCCGACAAATTTTTAGCTTTCATTGGACATCTTATCTGGTCAATGTTGACATTTTTTCCTATTTCTCTTTCTTTACCGCAATGTTTCGTCATCGCATTTACATTATTTTCTTTCCACTCTTCAGCTCTGATAAGAACTTGAAAGAAAGACATTTATTGCATTTTATTCTCCACTGAAAATTTTTGCAAATAAAACAACTATGATCGAACAAGAATTAAATAGCGAAGATCCTACACATGATCAGATGGTAAAACACCTACGTCGAGCTAATGAGATTGCTAAACGAGCTCGATCATTTGGACATCATCCGTTTGGAGCAATTCTTGTTGGACCAGATCATGAAACTATTTTATTGGAACAAGGCAATGTTGATACTATCAACCATGCTGAATCAACCCTATTAAGAACAGCTAATACAAATTTTTCTGCCCAGTATCTATGGAATTGTACGTTATATACAACATTTGAACCTTGTGTGATGTGCGCCGGAACAATGTATTGGACAAATATTGGACGATTAGTGTATGGAGTGAATGAAAAACAATTATTACGACTGACTGGTAACAATGAGCAAAATCCAACTTTAGACATACCTTGTCGTTATATTTTCGATCATGGTCAGAAAAAGATCAGGGTTTGGGGACCAATTGCAGAGCTCGAGAGTGAACTCATTGAAATTCATCATGATTTTTGGAAATAGTTAGCTGCTAGTAGACTAGCAGGTCTGGTCGTATCTTGACGTTTCAGATTTTAATGATATTTTTGCAGGTATTTAAGTAAAAGATTCTTTAGATTTTGCACAAACAAGGCACCAAATCTACGAATTAATATACTCTGTGAATGCTCTGTTTTTTATATTGTAGAAGTTATTTATTACAAACTGCCTTAAGATCAGAAAATACCAAGTTTTTCCTCAAGTTCTATTCGTAGCTGCAGTTTCTCGGTAACGAAACGTTGTAGAGAGCTCGGACTGATCTTAAATTGACGAAAACACATGTGGCTAGAGCCAGATTTTTTTTGATATTTTACTATTTAAATTAATAGTTCAGAGTAAAATCACATGCAATATTTCACGTTAAACATCTCCACTTGATGAACTCACTCTCTAGTACGCTCTAAACGCGCTCTGTTGCGGACAAAATTCAAATTTAAAGTTTGATCGGAGTTTATTCGGTCAGAATCTAAATAAAAACATAACGTTGTGATAATCCATGAAAAAATTAATATTTCGTAACTTATAATTATTCTCTTGACGTTAGTCAGAGTCATATAAAGAAAAATGTATGTTTGTCCACACGGACAAATCAAAAAATCAATAACTGTCGAGAGAAACGGTGTAGGTGGCTGAAACTTATGGACTCAAGGTAATCCATCATAGAAAACCTAATGCTATCATCGAAGGAACTTCAGAGGGTTCTGAGAAGGCTTTTAGTTTTCTATCCATTTCTTTCCATTGCATAAAAGTGGAGTTCTGATCGAGAAAATTGAGAATTACGAGGAGAATTCTGACTTTGAAGAAACATTTCTAATGTCAAGGTGCCCTAGGACACTTTTCTCGATACTATATACATAAAATTGTAGCTCGACAAATTCACTATCGCATGGTGTATTTATTGTAGTGGCCGAATAAGAAATGCTGACATAGAATATCTCATCGTTTTGCTCTTAGGAGATTATTTTCCATAGCCAGAAGTATTTCTAAACATATTTGGTGTCAGAATGACTATTTCGTATATGTGATATACAGAAATACAGTGAAGTAAAAGAGCTTTCGAATGATATATAATAGTCGTGAGAAACTATGAAACTGAGAAAGAAAGATCCTGCCGCTGTTCTGAGTGACGAGAAAACTGACAGCAAACGGTGTTGTATTAGCCAGTTGTAAGTGAAGGCCCATAGCAGTTGGAGCCATGCCAGCCTCATCAATTGAATCACCTACACAAGTCAAATTTCTGCTAGCATTTCGACCAGCGAAAAAAATCGACGCACCAATCAAACCTCCTAAAGCCAATGGACTGAAAAACACAGTTGTTTGATCTTACAACGTTATGTAACTTTACGTTATTTAACTTTCAATATTTTCCTTGAAAAATGTCTCTTTGATTAACTTTCAAAAAGAAAGTTTCTTTTGAATTGAAAAAGTAAAATAGACTAATATTTAATCTTTTTTCGGGAAATATGCAAAAAAATGTTGATCTGCAGTAAATCTTGGTCTCGTATTTTTCCGTTGGATTTGATCTTCGAACAATAACTTTCCATTATGTTCAATTGCTGTTAGTAATAATTGATACGTTGTTTGAAAATGCGGTGCTGTATATAAAATAAAGTTATAGT